CGACTCGGATCACCGGCTCTGAGGAAGACGAAGACGTCGAAACGTTAGCCGAAAATAAATATATTTATCAACCTCGTGCAAGCTTACAAAGAAGGAATGCATAATCCAGAATGCCTCGAGAGTTTTTCGCGCCTGTGTTCTTGATTCGTGTGCGAGGATCGTGACACATACTTCAAGTATGCCTTCACTTCGAGTATGTATCACGGCTATTCTATCTATCTATCTATTCTATACGGCTATCACGGCTTCTCGGCTATCAGTATTCAAGCTCTCATGGATTGCTCAACAAGGCAAGGAAAGCCTGTCTGTGAATGACTTTGCGCTTTCCTACCCCTATATGAATAACTCGATTCCTAAGTAGTTCTCCTAAATCCTCTTCATCACGTTCTCATCTTTTTTCCAGTTCTATTTATTGTATATCCACTCTGATAACAACTAGCAAAGAGTCTTTCGTTGGTGAACTGAGCATCAACTGATTTGAGTACTTCTCCCACATTATAGAACTCTCATTGGCTTCCTTTTTGGGAGTTTCCCCCTTTTTGAATTAACTCTTTAAATCTGGTTGTGCTTTGAGATGTAAGCAGACTTCGAAACCGCTGCTTGTCTTTGAACCCGCGATTACCCCCTATGGAAACTGATGTGCTATCCACCACACCAACCGATGCCCTTGTTTTGCCTTTCTCTCGGCCAGTCTTTTACTCTAGCTGTGCTATCGGCAATCACCCGTCAGTGGTAATTATAGCACCGCTAGAGTTGAAAACTGGCTGACAGAAAGGCAAAGCAGGAGCGTCGGTTGGTGTGAGGAATAGCACTTGAGCTAAGGATAATCAGCGGCTCGAAGCCTACCAAAGGTTCTGAGTTTTGTTCACATCTCACCATCTCTGTGGCTGTATTTCACATAATACCCTGCCATAAAAAATAAACAGGCAGCAAAGAATAGGTTAAACTGGTTACGTCATATTAGTGTTTTTTCCATGTTTCTCTAGTTGGCACGTTTCTTTTAAAAAGCCTAAAATTCCGTAAAGGGAATCGCAAATTTTAAGGTCGATTACAAATACCTTTATTTTTTCATCATTCAAAGATCGATCTCGATCACCTGATAAAATGTCGGTGGTTTATCAGTTGCTTAGCTCTTTACCTTACTGGGCCATCACCATCTGATAATTTCAGTTATCTTTCCCCTAGTACATATTCAAAATGAGTCACAACGTTCTCTTTAAGAGATTTATACCTCCATTTTGCCCTGATTTTATTTTGTAGAAAGCGCTGAATTGAAGACGGTTTCCGAACTTCAAATTGTTCTCGTTAGTAGGAACACTAACTCTAGAAAACTTTGACTTCTGCCTAGCGTTTTTGAATTTCCTCATGCATTTTTAACGCTGTCTAAGTGGTGGGCAGCTGCATTTTAGTGCGGATCCACATCTGTTGCTTTCCACGGCCTCAAGCCGGAAGTCTTCTTCATTTGAATGGTTTTATATCGTTAAATAATGAGGCTATGTGGCGAATCTTTAGATCACCAAAGAACAATTGCGAGAGACGGGGACCAATTATATACCATGTGTTCATCTTCAGACAAGACTGAGTTCAGGGTAATTCCCTGTTTTCTTCCATCTATTTGTTTGTGTCTTCCGCTTACACGTAATCATTTTCATGCACAGTGATGTTAGCGTGTCTAAATGCATTCATATTATCCTGCACTTGGCTGTAAGCCTACAACAACTCACGGAAGTGCATGGTAGAAGTTCGGATTCTAATTCGACGAATAAGAAGCTTTGAATTAGCTGAACGAGGATCCGACAATTTACCTATGACTTCTAAGAGCAGTGGTTTTGAGTTTCTTTCGACTATTAACCGCGTCATCACGGCGATGGGATGCTCCTAGACATTGTATTGCGATGTGCAGCTGAAGATCCATTACTTCGACACGTAAACTATGGCTGAAAAGGAGTGCAACTCATCTGAAAACCCAGCTAACAGTAAACATACGCCACGAATGGCCGCTCTTTTGGAGAGAAAGATTTTGTGGCAACATGAAAGCCAAACGATCCACAAGGGACGACGATTGACTGTGATAATGACGAAAGGGCAACGATGCACTTACACATAATGAATCAACTCAAAAAATCCTTCTCAATTTACTGGTTAATTCTTTTTAGGGTCTGTAGGATTCTTTTTGAAGATGGAATATTTAATGGGCGAATCCAAATTCTCGTTAATTGGAAGCTCAGATTCGTTCAGATCACTTCAATGTTTAGTTGCTTGGAAGCATTTTTTATGGAGATCCTCAATTAATGGAAGCTTGTGAAAGTCTCCCATTTTCATTTTTCCAGGTGTTGCCTGTTTTTATAGGTTTTGAGTTGCTGTTGTTGTTGTTGTTTTTTGCGTTTATTTAGAGGGCGGATAGCACAGTGGTAGTGATACCGATCATGACAAGCACGCCTTTGGTTCGATGCCGCCGCAGGCTCACCGAGTCTTTCATCCTACTCGGGTCGAGGAATTGGTACCGGAGTTGTCTGAGAAGAAACTACTCTCTGCAATCTATTTGGAAACGCTTGAGCCCAACTATCTCAAGACTCCAGTGAAAATCGACTCGACCAACATTCTACGACATTCAAAGTGAAACGAAAATCCTCAAACAGCAGCCAAAGCCACACGTAAAAGTTGGAAGCTTCGTGGATGATGGATGCGAGGAAACGAATCGAATATGGATAGTGCTGGCATCCGCACACTAGACGTGAAGACGGGTCATGTAAAATATAACACAAAAATAGGATAAATCTGCTCCTTTATACCGTATTTCGAATCGTTATATTCTATGCTGAGTGAAATTATTCTCTTAAGGAGAAGCCAATTTAAGTCTTTTCCAATCGTTTCCTTTGTTATGTCACACATTTCGTGTGTTTTAGTGTTTTGTATTTGTGAGCTGTCCTATATAAGCTGGTCTTATTCGCTCCTACCCCAGACGTTTCCGGTGATGAACATCGGCGGAACTATTCTGAATGTTCGTCTTTCCAGATCACTTATGAAGATTGAAAAAGTGCTAATCGCTGACGATATCGAGCAAGAGTGCATAGATATACTGCAAGCTAATGGGATTGAGGTAACGATTCGGTGAATAGATACAGATTCATAAATCAGGTCGTATACCTGTGGCAACTTCAGGTGACGGTGAAGACGAAACAGTCAGTTGATGAATTGAAAGTGTCTCTGCCCGCCCACGACGCTGTGATTGTGCGCAGTTCGACAACGGTACTTGCCAAAACGACCAAGATTAGATTAATTTTCGACTCCGAAAAGTTTTCCTTTCCGATGAGTTACTCAGCAAGTAAAAGAATCAGATTTGACTAACAAGTAACTAGCAACAGTTTCTTTCTCTTGCACGACATTACTTGCCTAGCGGATCTTAACTCATTTTGGTAGGAATTGGTTTGGTATGTGCACTTTTGGCATGTAGTAAGGGACTCTTTCAAGGGAACCTTTCTTTCACGAAAGCAATACTCGCCTAGGAAGTCTCTAGAATATACAACTTGAAGTTTTGATTACAAAACGATTGTATCCTGTAAATGAGTTTTACCCTAATATTCTATTACTGTTGTTTATCATTCCTCTATCTTGATCTTGTATTAGATCTAGTGCATTGAAATTTTCAAACTGCATGTTTTTAATGAGTCTAGTTAATTAGTTTGTGTGCTTATAGATCACCAAGAACCTACTCGAAGTGGGTTCAAGTGGTCGCTTGAGGCTGGTAGGAAGGGCTGGAACAGGTGTCGATAACATTGATGTAGAAGCAGCAACGCAACATCATGTGCTTGTCATGAATACCCCCCGTTAGTTTTGAGCTTTTTCGATTTTTTCGTTGAAATACGGCCTAGGCCGTTGTCACTTATTTGCCAGTAATCATCGGTGGTTAGTGGGCATAAGTAGTCCATCTCCAGTCCACTCGGTAGTAGCATAGTACAGCAGTATATCCCATAAGCTTGTACATTTTGTTCATTAAGAAGTCTACCATTTCAGAAGCTAATTCCCGATCTGCTGCTGAACTCACTTGTATTTTGATCCTGTGCCTAACAAGGCATGTTCCACAAGCTCATGCCTCTATGAAAGCTGGAAAATGGGCAAGGAAGGAGTTCACTGGAGAGGAGGCATGTTCTGTTTCATGGTTTCATCTCATTTTACTTTTCTTCTTCACGGTAATATGAGGATGCCTAAAACCTGGCTATTTTTTTATTCTCTTTTTTTCCTTCGTGCCCCATTTTCCTTCGAATCACCTTTCTTTTCTTACCTTAAAGCGCTTCTATAGTAACAAAGTACCTCTTGTAAACGCAAAGGTCACAATTCTATTTCAGATGAATTAAATTTTGTCTATCAATAAGTTTAGCATGGTCGCATATCTATTTGGAACAGTAAAATTTCATAATATCTTCTCGGGCTTTCAAATCCTCACATCATTTTTTCTATCAGTTCCTTGTATAACAAAGATTTCGATTAAGAAATCTTCCTCAATAGGAAACCTTTGTATATTTTCACATAGCTGTTATGGTATTTTCAAGGAAAAATTTGTTTAGATATTTGGACGAACTTTGGCTGTCATTGGACTGGGAAGAATTGGTACTGAGGTGGCGATGCGAATGCAGGCGTTCGGGATGCGTGTTATTGGATACGATCCGATCATAAAAAAAGAGGTGTCTCATTAGTTTTGAAAGCTATTCCTCATTGGCTAGCTTACCGAAAGTTTTTCTTGATTTCCAGAATGCTGAAACGGTCCAATTAAAACACGTACGATATTCAGAACAGAATACGTTGCTTATATATAATTAGGCAGAGCTAAATGTGATAAGACGTCATGCTACCTTCGGTGGTTGAACGGACTCATCGTGTTTCAGGAAGCAGCAGCGAAGAATATCGAACTACTTCCGCTTGAAGAGATCTGGCCTCAAGCAGACTTCATCACAGTACATGTACCGCTGCTTGCTGAAACGGAAAATCTCATCAATGCTGAGAGTAAATGCGACAAAAAACTAATCTCTAGAGAATATGTAACAAAAAAGGAATGTTTCAGCTCTAACGAAATGCAAGAAGGGAGTAAGGATCGTCAACGTCGCTCGCGGCGGCATTGTGAACGAGCAGGACCTTGTGGCAGCGCTGAATTCTGGCCAGGCCGGAGCAGCGGCTTTTGACGTCTTTCTGGAGGTGAATAACGAGACATATCTTGAATAGATTAGATTTCTGTGAATAATTACTGCGACTTCTTCTGCTATGCAATGTCGCAGTAGCCTTTCCTTTATTCTCTACCTAAGAAGTTTTATGTCTATTTATTCCACTTAATTTTCGCAACGTGTAGCGAGTGTAGCGCCGTGCTATGGAGTGCACTGCGATACACATGTGGTTGTTGGTTCAATCACGCGCATAGGACCTTTAGCTTTAAGGTTTAGGGAAAATTATCATTTCTAAACGCTCTGCACAACGTCTTTGCGGCCACTATCATAGCTCTCTTGAAGAAGAAGATTATTAGGAGAAATAGAATATTATCTAAATTTCATGTCTTCATAATATTCATTAACTAGGAGCCGCCTAAGTACCGCGGTCTTGTTGATCATCCGAAAGTAATCTGTACTCCTCACTTGGGAGCATCGACGACAGACGCTCAGCGGAGAGTAGCTGCTGAGATTGCCGAGAACATTGTGCAGCTGAACTCTGGGAAAATTCTGGGTGTGGTGAGTTTGCTTTTGACTTCCTGGTCATAATAACCTTCAACCTTGTAACCTTCAATTGGGTGGACTTCGCCATGTATTTTATAATCTGCCATATATTTCATGGCAAAATCTGAATTTTGCAGTTCATTATCATCTTGGTGGCTTTTCCTTCTCACTAATTCATTGTTTTTCAGCTAAACTCAAAGCAAATGACGTGATTCGGTAACATGACGTCATCGTCTCTTTTCATTACTCCGTCAATGATGTTCATTAAATATCCAGTATAAGACGAAGTTTTTCATTTGTATTGTATGCGGGACGACTTATACTTATGTCCTTGTTTAAATTGAGAAATTCCGATGTAAACATTCTAATGTATTGCGCATTTCTTCGCAGAGGCATCCGATGAACTTTTCTGTGACTCTTCCGTTTGCTCACGCAAAAACACCACTGAAGAGAACTGAATAGTCTTCGTTAAACTATAGAAAAATTTATTGAAACTGTCAGATTTTTATGGAATTACCTACCAGTTGCCTTCGTTTACAAGTTTAACAGCAGCTTAACACTGTATATGGTGGATTCATATCGTAGAGATCTTATCAAAGAGGCAAACATGCAGAGGTCATCAGACGGCGGCCGCTACTGTTTGTCTCATTTCCTACCTGACCTGTAAGGATTGGATTGTGGCTTAGCTTCCGAGGTGTTTAGCTAAGTCGGCAAAATAACCTTTACTGAGTAGTACAGTTTCTACGGAGTATTCTGTACTCAGCAGAAGAGAGAGGGAAACCAAAGTAACAATCTACGTCACCGTTCAAGGTCAGACATGCCGCTACGCACGCCAAACTGTTGGAGATCAATCGGGCCGGACAGATGATGCGTCCGAACTGAAGTTGATGGAAAAGAGTCATCAGATACTAGTTTCCACGGGATTTCAAGCGCACAGCAGAGAGACCATCGACTCAGGTTAAAGTGGTTGAGAAAAGGCTTTTGAAGAAAGATATGATGCTCAGTAAGTTCCCAGAACGATCAGGATCCACTGAGCAATACCTGTCGACAGGGACAATGGAACATTTACTGGCCCACGGTCGAGTTACTTTGTGACCAACGGAAGATGAGTGATAGGTAGCGGTTCCTTCTGTTTGTCTAACTGTGGGAGGGCAGTCAGATCAGCCATAGAGGTGTTGCTGCGCCGTTTTTTCCTTGTTCGAGACGACGAGGTGGATTAGAGTCATTTTCTCTCCTACGTGTTTTTGCCTAGATTTTCAGAGCAACGGATAGTTTTTGACGGATTTTAGAAAACTTTTACGGCCTTTTAAGAAGGTTTTTTGAGTCGCCATGTTCACTGATAACAAGTGGAATGAAATGGGAAGGAAGCAGAAAAAAGTTGTGGTGCCACCACTAAGAGATTCTTTCTGTTTATTCATGAATGGAAAGGGGACCGCACGCCTGAAAATGGAGGAACGCCTATCCTTGCCGAAACCTGTGAAGATTTAAGCGCATCCTTAACCACTAGGAATTCGAACAAGAAGATGGAGAGAAAAAGAAAAACACCTTCAATGCAAGCATCTTTATGAAACACTAAGGCTGAGAACTGCCAGTAGTAATCCTTGTGCTTGGACTTCGACGGTCATGTTCACGAGTTATGCTGTCCCCAGCACATTCTCCACTCATTTCCTCGCCTCGTAGTCGTCGTCCATATTGGTGGTTTGATTCGAACATGGTGGTCGATGTGACTCTCAAACCTTGATCAATAAAACAATTGCAGCTCTGAGTGAAGCTATCTGACTTTCGTCACGAACACGACTGCTCAAAGTGCAGATTGTCGTACTAAAGGGCACCTGCATCCTCGTGAAACTCACTCTACACTTCTTTTCGTCTACATGTCGCCTGTTTTTCTCATTACTTGACCGATTCATGTTTCGCTATTATTATTATTTGTTCTGTGTTAATCTCAACTTCGAAGGTAATAGACTTCGGAGATGGGAACCTCGCAGTCCGGCTATATGTTCTGAGAAGCACCTCTAGCATGAATATTACGGATTTCCGAGGAAGATACCACTCGATGGACATTCACAATGTCAATGAAAACTTCATAGATGCTGAAGTCGCATACGGAATCCACGTCTCTGCGATTGCTAGAAAACGAGATGAAGAAGTATTGGTATCCGGGCAACGTGTGAAAAACGACCAATTAAGTGTTTAAGTTAAGGTTTTTACTCTTTTCTCGCATTTTTTTCCTTATTGGACTGAACTTATCGAAACGAATCTAAAGCGAATTTAATAGGGATGGTTAGCTCTAATGTTAACAACAACATGGTGGTACTATTTTCGTCAGTAGGTCATACACCAAGCCTGCTCCGCTCTTCAACACTGTGGAAGTATTGGTTACGCACTAAATCTTACTTTTCCGTTGTCAATTCAAGATTTTCGCCTAATTAAAGACGACGGTTTTAAAAGGCTGAAAAAGTATCTTCGACATGTGGTTCTGATCGTGGTTGTGGGCTGTGGAAGCGAATAGAAATGGCGTCACTAGCGCTGTCTACGGAGAAGGTTAAGCCCTTGAAATGCGACAGAACGATAACAGCCTGAGAACGATTTATGCGTGCATTTCGTGCTGAACGCTTAGTGGATTTTGAAGAACAAGTGGAAACTCCTCTTCAAAAATACGAGCAAATATTTCAGTTATGCGCTAAATACAGTGAAAATCCTCTTAAAGTAATGAGAAACTCCAAAGTATGGTAGTCCCCTATGAGTAAGTTCAAGCAGAACAACAAAAATAACAGGTTATTCTATGCGCATCCTTGTCGACTACTAGTGACCTTGTTGTCCTCTAATATCGACCATTTCTATAATTGATTGGGACCTGGTTGAGAGAATTACACAGTGGAGGGGACTGGACCAAAGCCAACAGTGAAGAACACTCGTCAAGTAGAGACTAATTGCTATGCTTTAAATTTTTGATTTCAAGCTGTAACCCGATTAAATATACGTTGGCTTCTACGGTTATTTTTGTTTTGAAATATTGTTACGCTCTGTGATAGCTGATAGTGATACTGACCGCTGCAGAACGGATTATCCGGTGAAGAGTATACAATTATCGAAGGACAATTATCATCAACACGTCTTGTATAAAAGAACACTGTGGATCAAGGTTACTTCAGCGAGACGGTGCCACAGTAGATCCGACTCAATACGATAACGAAGACCCATAGCGGAAGAGGGACCAACTGTGGACAATCGAC